TTCACTGCCAGAATCTTTGCCCGAGCTGGAATATTCCGATTGTCATACAAATCTAGGCTCTCTATTCTAGCCACTACTACTCTTGCGTTTAGAAGAACCCTTTATGACCAAAACCTTGTCTTCAAAATAATGACCAATAGGATTGAATTGGAACCGCAAGATTTTTTCAGTCTATCGAATTTCAACAATTACACTAGAGGACACATGTTCAGGCTTGTAGTAGGGAAAGTGAGGAACCAGCAATACTATAACTCTTTCCTAGTGCGTGTTATCAAAACGTGGAATGTGCTCCCAATGGAAGCTATCATCGCGAGATCTACATTCGTTTTCAATAGAGAAGTTCAAAAATTTCTGAAATCACAGGGGTCATTCTGACTACCATTTTCCAGGAAATTTTTTGAGATTTCGACGTTTCCTTTCTCCGCAACGAATTCTAACTGAAGTATGGTTTGGTCTCCCAGAAGGCGAAATCTTCGTTATGTTCGATGTTTTTATTTCTGTTCCCCGGATCAAGAATCAAGAAAAAAAAACGTATCTACCTCCAATGATTCTTTACCATTTTGTATTGCAACTCTCTTGAATTATCCTTTTTCTTTGTTACAGTTTTCTTCCTGTGGTCATTTCGACTTTTTTTCTTGGTGATCATTCCCCTCTTCCGAGGGTTTTATTGTACTTTTCCCTTCTTTTTATGTCTTATTGTCCTTTCGCCTTTGAAACCTTTATTCTTCTCTCTGGGTTATGGCCAGCTAGCCTTTGCAGGCGGGCTCGCTGGCCCCCCAAACAGGGGGTATCGTTTTCGAAAGACGTATAAGATTTTGGTCAACCGCTGAAATTATTGATCCTCCTCGTCCAGAGTCATTTGGATGTCGACTTTATAACTAAATAAATAAATAAATTGTTGGCATGCGGTAGACATAGGGTAGGTGGTCAGTTTTCACAAATTCATTTAGATTCTTGTTCAGATGGATTACTCAGTGTGCTGATAACATTAACACTTACGTTAATTTGCTGCCGGGGCACTATGTATGGGTACTGTAAGGGTCGATAGAAAGTCGTTTTGCACGAATACGTACAAAAACTGCTTGAGGTGGCTATTTGATGCGCTGATTGCATAATCATGCTCAAGTCGTTTGTAAACTTAATTTGTGAGCAGCACACTGCGGGCGGCATCCATGACACCTTACTGATGACTCGTCAATAAGACCTCTTGTGGTGGAACAGACTGTGAGAGGTGTTTAACTAACTAACACATCAAACCGAATGAGACTAGAAAACAGGACGTAATTTCAGGAAGGATAGCTTCTGATCGTGAATGTCGCAAAGCACTTTGCTTGATACTGCTACGCATATTTGGTTACGAAGATTCAAATTCAGACGAATTCATTTGCCGCTGATCGTGCAGTACAGAGATTAGATAGAAGAACGATGTGATGTCAATTAGCTCGATTTTGTCTACAGCTTCCTTTCATGTTCACTCAAAGAGGAGTAGTTGGCTTTATTTTATGGTGTCATTCTGTAGGAAACCTGTAACCACTCATCGGAAGTTGGTATGTGCAGCTCAAAGGGCGCTATCAGTTTTTCTAATGGACTTCCTGCTGTCGCTTGAAGAAGGAAAATGAAGACGCTTTGTAGTTACAAACAGCCTATTATGCTGAAGATTTGATGATGTTGACAACTGTATCTGGGCCGGTAGTAATCTACCCTACCTGGTGGCATCATAGATGCCGGCAAGTTGACACACATCGCGGAAAGATGCCAACTCCGCTGGCAGTTCGCGGACTGATCTCAGGCAGACCGCCGCAAAACATTAGCATTGCGCGCGCTCGAACTTGCATGCAATGACTTCGAACGCCGGCGCAGATCGACCACACCTACGCTGCGCCCATGGCGAAGCCTTTGATAAAGGTGTTCCTGGATTTGCCGGCCCGCCCAAAAGATCTGCACCACGCGCGTTCGAACTTCCATCTGTCGACTTTGAACACTAACACTCTAACCGCTCGCACTACACAGCATTGTTCGCAGACTGCAGAAGCGGCAAGGGAATGCGCAAGAAGCAGTACATGTTTTCGGACATGATCAATGCTCTTGAGCTATAGACTTTGAACTTTGAGGAAATCTTCCAAGATCGCCTTGCTAACGATGTTTATCTATTGTTATCTTTGTATTTTGGATAGTTTTCTTGTACTCTGCTTTCCGAACGTGAATTCGTTACGCTGATAGAACCCAGGATAATAATAAGTTATTTAGGTATGCTACCAGTGCTCATTTACGCCGCTCCTGTTAGGAGGCATAGGAATATCCGTTACGGACGCCTCCATCCCTTCGCCTCTTCCACTCGAATCAAAGCCTGATTCGGAGGAAGTTCCGGAAAGGAGGACCACCTTCGGCGGCTTTGCGACCTTCTGCAGCCTTTGATGCCTGGGGAGCGACAATCGACAACTGGAGCGTCGAGGTGGAAACAAGACTACATAGACTACATACAGTTACATAGACTCTATTTGGAAAACAAAGGATAGGGAGCGCATACACAGAGAAGTAGAGAATTTTTCAACGGATTTTCGACGATTTTTGGAAAATCAATAAAATCGATAATGAAGTTATACGTTGTCAGCATGCATGACTGGGGAAAACCAAGCTAATCAGTGAATTGCAGGTCGTCATCGCCTTGCGGTACCTTACCACGAATGCCCATCAAACCGTTCTGGCGGACACGATTGGCGTTTGTCAGAAGAAGGTGTCGAACGCCGTGGCGGATGTGGTGAAGGCGCTGAGCAACCCGGCAATAGTGCAGAAGTTCATTTAGTGCCATCTCCACGACGAGCGCTATTGCCGGAGGAAGGCTGATGGCTTCGCACGATTGGGAAGGCTGCCGAACATCGTGGGAGCCATCGACGGCACAGTTGTACCCATCGTAAGGCCGGCCAACTCAGGGTGGAAATACTACTGCCGTAAAGGATTCTGCGCCATCAACGTCTTAGCCGTTGTAGACGCCCGCGGTAGATTCATCTACATAAACAGTAACTATCCAGGTTTTGTTCATGATCCTACCGCGTACAGATATAGTCGCCTACATGATGCATTCGCAGAAGGAGCTGTTCCGGAGGGTTAGGCCTGATTGGGGATTCAGGCTTCTCAAATAGTAATGAGATCCTCACTCCGTACAGGAATCCTCAAGACGGGGCACAACGCCGATTTAACAGGACCCACAAAAAGATGAGAGTTGTTGTCGAGTGTGTGTTCGGAAAGTGGAAGGGCTGCTTCCGGATCTTGCAAACAAAAATGCGCTTGCATCCAGAAAAGGCGGCAAAAATCATAATGGCTTGTCTCTCCTTCACAACATTCTCAGATAATCGCCGGGGCAGGCGGCCATGCCATTTTTGGGCAAGCGGGCACCGGAAAAACAGTTCGCTGATTTCTTGCGGTCCGCTTGCAGAATTTGGAAGAATTTTAGCGAGATTTTGAACGAATGCTTGAAGAACAATTGCGGTTTCCTTGCAGGTTAGCTGCGGCGCAGTGGCCGCATTCTCGCGGACTTTCCGCGAGAATATGCAAAATTTTCGGGGGCCGCACGGTCCTTTATGGAGGACCGCGCAGCCCCCAGGTACTTTCCGTTGAGAGAAAGTACATCAAACTTGAGTAATTAAACCATCGGTGACTCCTCTGCCATGTAGAGTCTCACCTTTGCTCGACGTACACCCGAAACTGCTTAAAAACCGTCTGAGCGCCAGCTGAAAATCTGACCAGCGCTCGCTGAAAGAGATTATTTGACGAGCGCCTGCAGAAAATTCTGTGTTGCTGCCCGCTGGTAGAACATTAGACAATAAAGGAGGTGCCGCCCGCTAAAGGTTTGGCCACGCCCCAAAATTCTGCTGAGCGCCTGCAGAAAAACGCGAGTTTGCGGACCGCCTACCCCCGGCGATCGTCTGAGATTATGCTCTCGATGAGATGTCGTCCTATGCGACATCTTGGTAGGAGGATTGCGCACATACCGCATCCCAGAAATGGGGTGGCGAATGTTAGGGAGGAACTAACCCGTTTATTGATTTAGGATGTTGTTGTTGCTGTTGTTGTTGTTATTCTTGTTCTTTTTGTTAATTATCGTGTAATTACAAAATAAAATGTAATAATTTAAAAGCGCATGTGTGCAAATTGCAGTAAACAAAACAGGGAAAAAATTCGTGTCAGGTCCATGCCAGCTTCGGCGTCGCATCTATTGCGTTTGGGGCATTTCCAGCTCCGTCCCAGCCTCGTGCCAGCTCCGGCGTCGTGTCTCTTCCGTTTGAGAGCCGTGCCAGCTCCGGCGTCGTGTCTATTGCGTTTGGGAGCCGTGCCAGCTCCGTGCCAGCTTCGTGTCAGTTCTATCGAGAGCCGGTTCACTAATTTCGAATGTTATGGGTGTTTACACAGTTACTAGCGATTATATTAGGTTATTGGGGAATCTTTCGCTTTTTCCGCTTGGTGGTGTTAGTGCCATATCAAAAGAGAGTAGAGAAGGGCTGATAGAGGTTGCTATATATGGACCTGTAAAGAGCGTTCTAGTTTTTGATGATCCCACTGAAATTGCAAATAACTCCCTGTAGGGAAATTTGTGCGGCTTTACATGCGACATGTGAAAACACGATTTTGGACGGGGGCGTTGCTATGTTATAGTCGGGCATCTCAGTCCTTCAAACCGAACCGGATATACCCCTATAAAAATTATCAGCAGGCTTGGTCACACATAAGCCCCCCAGAAGCCAGTTTCGCACATTCTAATGATTCCATCAAAATCATTTTGCAATGCAAAAGCGCGAGAACACTACAGGATTGTTGCCAGAAATATGCTGAACAGAATGAAGTTTTGCGGGAGAAGCTTGAAGCTGGAAGAAGCTGTGCTTGTTCAAATCCGATGGTGCGAAAACGAAAAAGCTTTCCGTATGACCTAATGATATAAGTGTATGTGTGGTACAAATTATCAGTTTTGTCATTTACTTATTTATCTTATCATATCATCATTGCAAGTAGTAAAAACGTGACTAAAAATAAAATCGATGTTCTTGAAGACTAACGAACATGTAAATACTAACGAATCAAACAAAATTATATAACATTATGATAGCAGAGACTCCTCGATGTTGTTATCGACTACTTTCGTATGCTATTGTTTGGGTGGGGGGTCGGATTTTTGCACGTTGATGTTGATTTGTATTCGATCGACCAATGCGTCGACCTTGCTCAGGATTGCATATTTTTTCTTCTTTTCTTTTTTTCTCTCGCTATCGCTTTCAAACTATAAAACGACTTGAAGATTCGTAGCAGCTAGTGATCGATTCACAGTTGACAACTGCTTCAACAGCTCCTTACTTTCCTGCGATCCACTGAACTCCGCGGAACATTCAGAAGGAGGTGGCGCCTGGAACTCTTCGTTTACGTGCAGCCTCAAAACGATAGCGTTTTACTTACGCATACGGCGCTTTCGGCGACCCGGAGGCCGCCGAGGCCTCCGGGCCTAAGGCTCGTGTTGTCTTGACGTCTGCCTCCGTCATGCTCGCCATTCCTTTTGTCAACGCGTGTTCAAGTGCGACATTGACGCCGCCCCCGGTAGCAGATCTGTACCTACAAAGAAGTTATGTGATTGGGTAACATGCGGGTAAGAATGCATAGTACTTTTTTTCTTTCATTAGGAGATCCCGAACGTTCCCCCTCTTCGTACGCCAGCATCTTTTGATCGACTCAATGCTCATTTCCTTATCGCACTTCTCAAAAACGATTCTTCCTATCTCCTTCCATGCCTGTGTCCTTTTATGTTTACAGTTTGGTTCTCTATTGCCAGATCTGTCCCATAAAAGGTTCCTCCTTTTTAACACTTCCTCCACTGACATCCTGATGGTCGACGATGGACTAAGAACCCATCGTTAAAGCATGATAAATTTGCTGTATCAGGAGGCTTACCGAGGCCATGACGATACAAAACTTCTTGCTGTTCGGAGTTCAACAAGACTCTAAAGAATTAGTTTCAAACTGTGTACACCGGTTTGGGCAGGGTTTACTAGGCATTGATATTGAAATCATAACGATTTTTCCACTAATAATCAAATCCTTCATTCTGATTCAGAATTTGGGCTAGTGACAGGTTTTTGATTTGAAAACAGCAAATGTGTGAGTGTTACAGTGATGAAAAAAGTGATATAGATGTTTCTGTTCGTTGATGTTCGCGTGTCTCCACCCGCCTCCATACTGCCACCCGCCCGAAATTGAAGCGCGAACCTCTATACCAGATCCTCAAACCAACTTCAGTTAAAGGCAGCTCAGGACAAGGGGGTTTTGGGATTTCATTAGGCGGAAGTGAGCCCCCTCGTACACGCCATCAAGCAAGTGCGAGGCCATAAGGTTCGGCCAGAATCCCAAAACCAGGCCTGGTTTGCCCTGAGGGCGAGCCTCGCCACCTGTGGATCTCCTGTCTGCGGCGGAGTACACATGCCGCCACAGTCACACTCCTACTGTTCACAGTTACACTCTTAGGGTCACGGGTTTCAGCCTTGACTGGAACTTTTCCACTTCTGTTTCACAATGAAATTGTAAGGCTAAGCGTTCTTGCATTTTCTCGCTTTCTAACGTTTGAGTTTGGCCGCACACTAGCATGTCGCAGATAGCGAATTTGAATTTCGGATCAGCATGAAAAACTGATTCAAATGATATTCATCTCATATCAAACGGCCACTGCCTCTCAAAGTACTTTCCCTGGTAAGATTACTGAGAAGACAAACCTTCAATTTTTTGCGCCCTCCTCCCTCCCGAAATCCTCTTCCCTCCTCAGTTGGTGGCGAACAGTTGGCAGACTCAGCTGCTTTCTCACACACCCTCGAAAGGGATGATGGCACGTCGTCATATCTAGAAATAAGCTAGTCACAGAAGGGTCTCTGATTCTTGATCAGCCGAAACTCTAAAAACTGTCAGATTTTGTAACCGTCACTCACTATGTTCAGAGAATAGTTTAGAATGTTTTCACGAGCACAATCAGAAACCGGCGACTTGTGATCAAATCTCAATCTCTGTGATCAATCTCTCTTATGAACAGAGAAGAGTGTTCAGCTTATACGAAGAGAGTACAAAAGTCCAAAAAAGTCAGGTAGTACCTCTGTTTGGTACACAACAATAAAAATCACCTCATGAGAACAAGATAGATTTCTGGTGCATCCTTGCTATTCAGACATCAAGCAATTGTGCTGGAACACAAAAACGAGGATGTATGTCACCAAGGAGTTCAGCTTTGTGTAAGTGCAAGTCCAGAGTATAGTTAATGGGGTGTGCCGCACCCCATTAACTATATCAAAAAACAATTTTAGCGGACAGTATTTATATGAATCGATAGCCTAAACCTTGTAGATTCCATAGGACCGTTTGGAGCCTGATTCGTCTTCTTAGCTCTGAATAATATTTGGTGAAAGCACAGCGATCAAAAGCGAAAAATGGGAGAAGCGAGATTTTGGTTGGCTTCTAATTCCACAGTTTGGAGGTCTTCTGAAGTGGGATTCCTGAGGTGGACAAAAAAGGAGTAGTGCTTTGTCTTGAGTGCAAAAACGGATAGCTAATTCACCTTTGAAACAAAGTTAACTATGTTGGAATTTGACCATTTCACTTAGCATTTCAGGTAGCCTAGTATCTTGAATCTTCAGAATTCGCTCACACGTTGTCTACAGGGGTTATTTGACATGCTAATAATGGATAGGATACGAATATCATATTATCACTATTATCAGATTACCCAACTACGACCCCTCCCCTTTTGACTCCTCAATACGACCCCCCAGGTGTGGCGTGCCGCACCCCACGCTTGACCCTGATTATGATGAACAAGTAGAGCATGATCGTTTGTTTGCCGCTGTTCAAAGCTTGTTATATAAAACTCGGTCTTTTACGTTATCCGAACCTATTTTTTCAAAAGGCTCACATATATTACTTTCTTTAGGTTAAGAATAATTTCTAAAGATTCTACAAGGATTGCCTTCTTGCCACGTGTCACAAAAAAACTGACACGTTTTGGTCCATTTTGACATTTTTCTATCTCGAAATCGTTTCCGGTGAGGGAAAAGAGAGTTTGTGATTACCTTAGGGCTGTTTAATTGTTTTACATGAGAGCAAAACAATCATAAATTTATTTTAGAACATCTTGCCTGCTTTTAGCATGATTCAAAATGTCTTTCTCTTCAAACCCTTTTCGCCATGCGATTTCAGTCAGAAAGGACTACAAATAAAGCTTGAAGTATTTGCTACTGCTTATTTCGTCTCCTAAATGACGAAATCCTAGCGCATTTCTCCAAAAACTGAGCAAATCTAGTCTGTTCATCGATAAGAATATGTTGTTATTATTATGACAATGTTCATTTTGAAACTGTTTGGTCAAAATGAGGTCAAATTTGACTACAAAACAGATGAAACGAAGACTCTTGGTGAAACCTGTTAAACATGTAAATATGTCAAATTTTCTTTGACACGTGGCAGAAAGTTGACAGCCTTCCTTAAAGGCAGCGTCCAGGCAGATCCGAGCTCGACGACCACGCCCACTTCCCTCGGACGGCCAACCCCTTAACGAAATCTCCTCAGCCTTGACGTGTTTTCACATGACCAACACAGTCGAACTTACAGCGTTTACCTGTTAATACTTGCTTTCGACAAGGATGACATCAGAAGCACTCGTCCGGGTTTTCCCAAAATAGCCCCAAAAGGTGGTTTTCTGAGAAATTCACGCTTTTTGAGTTCCATATTCGGAATCAGCGCCATGGAAAGGCGTTGATAACATAAAAATATAGGAGTCGAGAATCTGCCTGGACGCTGCCTTTAAAGCTGAGGGGCAGGCGCAAATGGACTGGGAAATTTTTGGTAGTAGCCTGCATGGGTTATGAAAACCAAATAACTTGTTTTTATTTGTGAGTAATTGAAATGATTTTTTACATTTCTCAAAAATCCAAATTAGCTCTGAGTGTAACTGCCACAAGGCCATTTCGGGATTGTACGCCGGAAGAGCTTAGAAATTAACCCGAAAGATTTTTTGGAGAACATAATTGATGCCCATTACTGCTGCAGATTGATTTCTCTCCCCCCCCCCCCATTTTTGGGTCGTCACTGCTGTGCGCTATCTCAACAGCACTAACAGGGGAAAAGGGGCTCAGAGAAGACATTGAAGGAGATTGATATTTCCCAATACATATACAGAGTGGCCGGTAAGTATGGGCGTTACAACATGTAATATATCTTTTTTCTAAAATATTCTATCATGGCGGCTAATATGCCTGTAACTTATGGACACTCTCTATGTTAAGATAAGTGAAAATCATGCGGATTGAAGTCTTTGATGCAGACGGGACTCCTGGGTCTACTTTCTCTTGAGAGGCGCTGCGGCGCGTTCAGTGAACACCATATTTATAGTACCGTATCCTAATTTGGAGAGGAGAATTTTTGCTGTTACGGCACTATGTTAATCCTTGGACTGCCTCTACAAAACCTCAGATCTTAGAATCTATATTAATGAGTTATTTCAGCGGATTTGAAATGGGTACATTCGTAGCATTTCTGACGCATCAATTCCAAGGTAAACTGCTGGAGTCTGTATGCATGTGCACGAATCCAGTCTTGCAGGAGTAGCACAATAAGATGCCTGTGTTTCTGGCATGCAAACACAATCCTACAGAATTTTGTTTGCTATGAAAAATCATTGAACGAAAAAATGTGACGCCCATACTTTTCGGCCACCCTGAAGGGTGCGAAGGAAGTAATGCCCCTCTTTTTTGCCTCTTAAAATACCTCACTGTTGAAGGATATCCGTAATTTTACTAATTCTCCTACGCATGCAAGATCCTTAGAGATCAGACTAGGTTAAGTTTGATTCGGATCTCCTTTCGTCCTTTTGAAGGTGATAACAGCGAGCAAAAGCACGATGAGTCGAAGCAGTTGAATCGATTTTGGACCGTGAATGTTTCACCATCAGTGAAATCAAGTTCACTCTCGAACTTGTCATAGACCAATGACTTGAAACTTTGCCTTAGGCTCCCGCCAGAGTGCCGAAGCCACGCTGGCGCTGCGCCGGCGCCGAACCAGCGCCGAGCTAGCGCCTAACTGCCCCGGCGCCGTTTCGTACGATACACGTGTATTCCGTTGGGGCGGGGCTAGCTGACCTAGTTCTCAGCCAGGTAGCTGCACCGACTATTGTTCGAATCTGCCAGAAGCTCTGGTAGCCCTTGCCCGCACAGGGTCAGCTAGCCCCGCCCCGAACAAATGGGACAGCTCGGCGCTGGCTCGGAACCGGCGTAGCGCTGGCGTGGCTTCGGCACTCTGGCGGGGCCTTAACAAGGAACTTACCTCAATTTGATTTTCGCTTTATTGCTTAGCACCCATTTTTCCTCTAGAGTTTACGAAAAGTTACAGAAACATGTATAGTTATCCATTGATTACAATCCTCACTGCTTGAGTCACTGCACTCTCCTCGGCATACTGGTATGGTGAGATTAGACAGTTTATCAACCATCAAG